TTTAAAGTAGTTGCTGAAGACTTAGAGACATTTTAGAAAAGAAAAGGGTTTTTGAAGAATGTGAAAACTCTGTAAAACTCTATAAGATTCTGTAAAAACCAGGTTTGGTTTCTATAAAGTTTTACAGTTTAATAGAGTCTCACGGAGTTTCATAAGGTTAGTGAAGTGTTTGAAAGAATTGCTTAAGAATGTGCCATTGTTTCTGAAAAAAAGTTGGAATTTTGTTTTGATGAGTTTGAACTATAGTTGTCGAATATGACATTGTTTCTAAAAGTTTGATATTTATTTACAGTTGCTGATGAGTGAATCATTGTTCAGAAAGATCGTTTGCTATTGTCTCTGAGAAAAATTGAAGTATCGATGCAATGAAAATAGTTGCTGAAAAGTGGCTTGATTTTATTACTCTGATCACAAATTGCTGTTGCCGTTCAGAATTGTAATTGAGTGGGTCTAGCCTTTTCAGCATCTGTGTGCATTTAAGGAATTTGAAGAATTTGACAAATTTGAAGCCTTGAACTGTAGAGCGTGGCGTGATTTTTTTAGTGAACTACAATTAGTAAACACGTTTTAAAGGATTGTCAAAAGATGTATACTTACTACAAACTTAACAGCATTATGGCGTGACTTTTCGTTTCAAACCAATCAGCGTTAAAAAGAGGTCTAAAAATATGTATTCATAGTTTTTCATTATTTAATTAATGACTTGGCATATACGCTGATGAGAATGTATGGAAAGAAGCCTATAAATACAGACTGAAAAGCTCTAGTTTTAGTCGTTTATGATTTTGTTTGAACTTTAGTTTAAATTTAGTTTTTAATTTAATATTAATTCAATTTATTATAATAATTTAATAGTTAAATTTAATATAGAAACATTCGGTTGCGGTATTAAGCTGCGTTTGATAAGTTTTAAATTTAAGCTTTAATAGAGTCTTATGGAGTTTCATAAGGTTAGTGAAGTGTTTGAAAGATAGTTGCTGAAGAATGTGCCATTGTTTCAGAAAAGAAGTTGTAATTTTTTTTTGATGAATTTGAAATATAGTTATCGAATATTACACTGTTCTTAATAGTTTGATATTTATTTACAGTTGCTGACGAGTGAACCATTGTTTAGAA